GCCGTGTTGAACTGCGATGTGCCATGCCGCGATTGTGCTCTAGATAGCGTTGTGGATCGAGTCCTCTTTGCATCCGAGTCCTGACCGAACTGATCTGGATCTTAAGCTCGAGCTGCCTGGACAGATGGTAGCTGCCCCAGAACTAATCGACAGGGGGACATGCCAGGAGGACGCGCCGCTGAACTTCCCAAAGGACACGCCAAGCGACGTGCCAGGGGACGTGCCATGGGCACGCACCGCGGGACGTGCCAAGGAGACGCGCTACGGAACGTGCCAATTGAACGTGCCGCTGGACGTGCCAGGGGACGCGCCGCGCGACGTGCCAGGTGTACTCGCCACGAACGCGCCAGGGACCGTGGCCAGAAGGCACGGTGAAGTACTCGTCTTGGTGTACGCGTGCCGACCGGCCTGTGCTGTGGGCTTACGCCTGTTTAACCTGCGATGTAGCCATCCGCGCGATTGTGCTCTATACTGATGTGGATCGAGTCCTCTTTTGGCATCGAGTCCGACTTCGACGATCTGATCTTAAGCTCGGACTGCCTGGACATAATGTAGCTCACAGAAACTATTCGACAAGAGGGGACATGCCAGGAGGACGCGCCGCGGAACGTCCCAAGGGACGCGCCAGGCGACGTGCCAGGGGACGTGCCATGGGCACGCACCGCGGGATGTGCCAAGGGGACGCGCTACGGAACGTGCCAATTGACGTGCACTGCGCGACGTGCCAGGGAGACTCGCCACGGGACGCCCCGCGGAACGTGCCAGGAAACGTGCCAGGCTGTAATGCTAAGGGTATCGATATTGATGTACCGTTGCGAGGGCTGTGCTGTGCCTGGGCGACCTGAAAACGTGAAAACACGCGTTTCGCTCAAGACGTTCTCAGGACATACTCGTACTAGACATCCGCCTGGGTAACCTGGGCACGTGCAAACAAGCGTCTCGATCGAGACTTCCTCGACACATCCTCATGCTAGACATCCGCCTGGGCGACCTGGACACGTGAAAACAATGGTGCGAAACATCCTCAACAAATCCTCATGCTGGACATCTGTCTGGGCAACCTGGAGGCGTGAAACCAAGCGTCTCGCTCGAGACATCCTCAAGACCTGGGCACGTGAAAACAAGCATTTCCCTTGAGAGATCCTCTGAATTCAGGTCCCCAGGGGAGGAAGATCTATAACACAAAACAAACGTTTCGCTCGAGACATCCTCAACAATTTCTGAAAACAAACAAGCGTTTCGCTAGGGACATCCTCAAATTTTAATTCGCCGGCCCTACACGACCTCGTTATTGATCGCAAAAGACATTCGCCGGCCCTACAGCCGTCAGATCCGGGGGCAAACCCCCAAAAGAGAACCCTGGGCCTGTGCCCTTTCCGGGAAAAATTACCATGGCGAAGGACCCAACCATATTCAGGTGTGGGTAATCCAAATGTGAATATAGTATTCTCTTGCACAGGGTGTCTAGAGCTCCGACAACTTTATTCCGCGTCGCACACCCCCCACATCCCTGCGTCCCCTGCGCCAAAGTGGGACACCCGCGCCGTGGCTCTCTGCCCCGAGCCCCCCCGCGTCACCGCGCCCCAGCGGGAGCCTCGCCCACTGCCCCCTCCGCCACGAACGCTTTATTCCGCGTCGCACCCCCCCCCGTCCCCAGCGCCAGAAGGACCCCCGCGCCGTGGCTCTCTGCCCCGAGCACCCCCGCGTCCCCAGCACCCCAGCGGGAGCCCCGCCCACTGCCCCCTCCGCCACGAACGCTGTATTCCGTGTCGCACACACACACACACACACACCTCCGCGTCCCCAGCGCCAGAACGACCCCCGCGCCGTGGTTCTCTGCCCCGAGCCCCCCGCGTCCCCAGCGCCCCAGCGGAGCCCCGCCCACGCCCCCATCCGTCACGAACGCGTTATTCGTGTCGCACACCCCCCCCCCCCCCCCCGCGTCCCCAGCGCCAGAGTGGGACCCCCGCGCCGTGGCTCTCTGCCCCAAGCCCCCCCGCGTCCCCAGCGCCCCAGCGGGAGCCCCGCCCACTGCCCCCTCCGCCACGAACGCTTTATTCCGCGTCGCCCCCCCCTCCCCCCCCCCCGCGTCCCCAGCGCCAGAGTGGGACCCCCGCGCCGTGGCTCTCTGCCCCCGAGCCCCCCCCCCCGCGTCCCCAGCGCCCCAGCGGGAGCCCCGCCCACTGCCCCCTCCGCGACACACGCTTTATTCCGCGTCGCGACGCACACCACCTCCCCCACCTCCCTCCCCGCGTCCCCAACGCCCCGGTGGTGCTCCGCCCCGTGCGCGCTCCGCCCCGACATTTTTATTCAGCGTCGCGACACACACCACCTCCCCCCCTCCCCCTGTCCCCAGCCCCCCAGTTGGACCCCCGCCCCGTGGCCCTCTGCCCCAAGCCCCGCCCAATGCCCCCTCCGCCACGACCATTTTATTCCGCGTCGCGACGCACACCACCTCCCCCCCTCCTCTCCGCGCCCCCAGCGCCCCAAGGGACCCTCCGCCCCGTGCCTCCTCCGCTCCGGGCACTTTATTCCGCGTCGCGACGCACGCCACCTCCCCCCCCCCTCCCCACAAGGGGTGTGCCGAAATGGGCGCGGTGGCGCCATGCAAACCCTGCCACTGGGGCCGTCGGTGGAGCTCCCTATGGGGCCACGAAACGTGTGAGGTGTGTGCCGAAATCAGCGCGGTGGCGCCATGCGAACCCTGCCACTGGGGTGGGGCCACGAAACGTGTGAGGGGTGTGCCGATATGGGTACGGTGGCGCCATGCGACCCCTGCCACTGTGGCTTTCGGGGGAGCCCCCTATGGGGCCACGAAACGAGTGAGGGGTGCGGCGAAACAGAGACATGCGAGGAGCAGAGGCGAGGAGGGGGGAGGGAAGAGGGGGAGGAGAGGAGAGGGAGAGGAGAGGAGAGGAGGAACGCGAGGCGCTGTCTCTTCAAACAAAGACCCAACACCACAGGATGGTTGGGAAAACCCACGACGCGTCCAAACTGGCTCCGAGTGGCCCCTGCGAGGCCTCACACGAGATCCCAACAAATATCCAATAGGATTCATACGCACAACCCAGTACCGGTGGCGGGATGGGACAAAGTCCATGAGATAAGCTGGGGACCTCTGAAGGAGAGGTTTCCACCCGAGGCTTCCTCGCAATTAACTCACCACCGACGAAGCTCCCGCGCGAGACCTCCTCAACCCTCAGGCCTCAGAAGACCATGAGTGACGACAATTATAGGATTGAGAGTGCCCGTCCATGTTAGAAACAGGAGGTGGGAACCCCTGATGGAGACGTCCTGCTCGAGACCTGCTCACGATTCGGGCCTCAGGATGCCAACAGCGACGACAGTGAAAAGATCCCGATGGTCCCCCCTCGGATGAGAAGCGCAGGGCGGGAGAGGGCCCCGAGGAAGAGGCCACGGCTCGAGGTGGGGTGCACTCGCAAACAGAGCCCCGCGCGAGACCGCCGGAAGCTCCAGGCCCCGGGAGGCCAAGGCTGAGCTTGCGCGCCCAGACGGGGAGGCACCGCGTGCAGGCCCCACGGGCGTGCCCGCTCGAGGCGCCGTCGCAGATGGCGCTCGGACGAGGCTCCCGTGCTCGCCTTCCTCGCGTGTCGGGCCTCGAAGACCCCGACGGTGGCGACACGCACCAGCTCAAGATGACCCCGTTAGGAAGGCACCAACCATACACCAACACCGATCCAGGCCAGGATCACCCTGGGCCCAGGATCGGTGCATACGCCCTCCTGCCTTGCGCAAGAAGGCATATACACCGATCCTGGGCCCAGGGTGATCCTGGGCCAGGATCGGTGTTGATGTATAGTTGGTGCCCTCCGACCCGTCGGAGAAGGGACATCAGGCGGAACCTCTGGCGGAGGGCTTCCCGCCGAGGTTCCCTCTCAATTCACTCACAGACAAAGCTCCCGCTCGAAGTTTCCTCAAGAATCAAGCCTCAGGAGCACACCCACAATAGAAACAGAAAGAAGGGACCCTATCCGGAATGGGCTCTCGCGCAGCACTTCTTCGCAATTCACACACAGACGAGGTTCCTGATCGAGACTTGTACACGATTCAAGCCTCAGGATGCCAAGAAGTGACGACAGTTACAACATGAAAATGACCCCATCAGATGAGAAACATCAGGTGGGGACCCCCGAAGGAGGGCGCCCGCTCGACACTTCCCCAACATTCAGGCCAAACGAGACCACAGATGACGACAAATACGGGGTCTCGATACAAACATAAGGTGGGGACCACCTGAAGGGCTCCCGCTCAACGCTTCGCCGTAATTCGCTCACAGACGAGGCTCCCGCTGCAGTGGCGATGGTGAAGTGATTGTGTGTGGGTGGTAATGACGATGACGAATGCAACCAGCAAGACAAGATGAGGGCGGACGAGGCCCGCCAACGCACCGACTCACCTCAGGCTCCCACCCCAGGCGCGCAGCCGAGCGCGGGTGTGGCGGCTTCGCGCATCAGCGCAACCAGAAGGCTCCAAGAAAGGAGATGACATCTTGGGAAGAGCCCATTGTGAGGTTGAGAAATGACGAAACGCAGCACCTTCAGAAGCTTCAGAAGCGTCTTGAGCCCCAACCTGCACTGGTGTCGGAAAGGACGCGGGAGATGCGCAGGCACCACGGGAGAGGTCCAAAGGAGAGCGGCAGCTCATGTTGAACGCTGATCGAGGGCGGAAGCATGCCGAATACGGATCCAATGCGGAGGAGCAGAGGCTCGAACCCAGCGCAGGTGGTGCAAAGGGGAGGGAGGAGACGAAGGAGAAGACGAGAAACCAGCAGGGGAGAGAGAGGCAGGAGCGGAAGGAAGGAGAGGGCGAGACACGAGGAGAATGAGGGAGAGAAGGCGAGAAAGGGGGGAGAAGCAGAGAGAGGCTGGAGAGGCAGGAGGAGAGAAACGGCGAGGACGAGACACGGCGAGGGGAGCCCGCGACCCCGTGGAGGCCCGACGCTCCCCCGCGCCCCGCTCCCGCGGGCCGCCCCGGCTCGC